TTATTATTATTATTATTATTATTATCTCACTTCTATTCTTCCAATTCTCTCCCCCATCCCACTGCGGGGCACGGGGGAGGTGAGCGAGCGGCTGTGTGGTGCTCAGTTGCCGACTGAGGTTAAGCCACAACAACTGTTATCCAGATTGTTTAGAAAATATGTGCAATAATAATTTCTGATATATGCTCGGTGCCTGTTCAGTCTGCAGCTTTTTCAGAGGCAATACACCTGGTCTCTGTAGGGGTTATTCTTTGCTTAACTGTTCAAGAAGTCAGCTTTCTGGCTGCTTTATAACAGGACATTTGTTACAAAACTTTTGACCGTGCATTTATCTTGATGGAGAAAGGGACTTCAAGGGGAAGAAGCAGACATTTCAAGCCTCTTGATTATTGTTAAAGACATAGACTTTGTAAGATAGTAGGTTAGGGAAGGAGTTCGGGTTTCCCAGCCATTGGTCCTGTATCATGACTAAAGCTAGCCAGCCATGCAGGCTTAGGTTGCCTCTCCTAACAAAAGTTTGCTTAAGCTATAAATTCTGATCCTGTGCGATCTGAACCTGTTTCAGGTTCTAAGATGAGCCTTAGAGAAGTCACGAGAAGAGATACTCCTCTGCAAGATATTTTCATAAAGCTTCAGGCACATGGGCAAGGAAATTGTTGAATGTAGCATGGGGAGAGGGATTTCTGGGATGAGATTCAAGATGTGATGTCCTATAGATACTTGCATCAGGGGATCTTCCACCCCCTCCTGCCCCTAAAGACTCTGCAGCCCTAAGCAGTTTTTTTACAAAGCTCATCTCCACCTGAGTGCTGGCAAGTCAACACCTGACATCATAGTGGGGAACTTAACTGTCTGTAGTGTTGGAGCAATCCCTTTGTCTTGGAGGTGGGCTTCGTCAGCCTTCATTTCCTATGGTGAAAGGTGACCCATTGCTGATGGGAGGAAAATGCATCACCAAACAATGTGGGTCATGGTTTGTCAATATTTTGCCCCCAAAAGCTGAACTTTTTAACCCACCATAATTACATGAAGGGCAGTGAGCTCATCAGAAAGGCAAATACTTCCCTGAAAGCCAAGAACATCCAGTGCTCTCGTCTCCAAATGTTATCCAGTGCTGAAACTTCCAAACAGATCTCTGCTTTTTTCAAAGTACCTCAGGTACAGACCTCAGGTGATGTGTTTGAATGATCTGATACTTTGTTTTGCCGTGAAGTAGAATGCCCATATGTGCAGCCTTTCAAAGGAGAATTTTTGGAATTTTTCAAGATGTGTTGTCCATTTGCATATTGCACTAAATCCCCTCCTCCCCCTTTGCCTCCAAATCTGGCATTTGTTGGACTCAATGTCAAGATGAAATGAGGATGCAGCTAACAGGCTGGGTTGTCTTTGCTTTGCAAAGCACGTGGAATTCAACAAATACGGCTGGCCAAAAATATTTCCCAACTGACCCATACAGAGGTTTATCTTAACCTGCAGTTCTTTGGTATATAATTTGCAGACTTAGTAACTTTCTAACTTCATTACTTTGCATTATATTCTGAGTTTAATTGTGAACTAATCAAAACAATTAAGTTGAGAGAGGGAAGTTTCTTGTTATAGGCAAAACCATAGTTGTAGTCTTAAGTACACAGATCTAATAACATTCATACTTGCATTTACCTTTGCAATTTTTCATCATTTGGAAAGTGTTTTATATGTATTAATGTATCTCAAAAAATAGTTTAAAGTTGGTTTCAGTTATTAATGAACTACTTTTTTTTTTCTTCCCCTCCTTCCTCCCCCTCCTCCTTTCTTCTTACTTTGAAAGGTGGCTAATGGAAAGATCCAAAACCTTGAAGCCACAGTAGAGCTTTTATTGACCAATGAAGGCAAGCTGAAGCAATCCATTCTCACTCTTGAGCAGGAGCGAGCAGCTTTGCTGAAAGCAGTGGAAGAGATGCGGAAAAAGATTGGTGATACAGATGGGAAGCCTCTACTTACTAGACAAGAACACATGGATGCTGACTGACATTTACAGTTGTAATGGAGCAGAGAAGCTGAGCAAGAAACAAGGGAAGAACCAGGTCTTTTTGTCATGATCCATGGGGATTTGACATTGTCACCTTCATTGTACATGCCTTATTGTAGCAAAGCAAGGTACGGGCATGGTGACTTCCCATATCAGAGAAGCTGGTTTCTCGGGGAGAAGGCTCTTTCTTCTTAGTATGTAGAAATACTATGAACAGTAAGATGCCACATAATAATAAGCAGGAGAAACTTAATAGTGCGTGCAGTCATACACAATACACTGTAAAGATGTCATGGATTCTTCCTTAAGTGCTTCTAAACCCAAGTGCTTTGTGTTCATCACATATTTTGTTCGTGTGTGTATCACCACCGTAGCACATCCTTTAGAAGGTTCTTTGAAGAAATATGGCAGTGTAAAACCTTTGAACGGATGACTGCCCCATTGCAGCTATGTGGTGGTAACATTTACAGAATTTTGTGATTGGACTTGAGATATTTTTGACTGTGTAATTCCCCTACGGCTTGACTGGGTTTTGTTAATTATGTTGTTTACGCTTCAGAAAACTGCTTCCTGATGCTTGAAGGTGTCAATCCATTGGACTTCAGAGAGCTGGACTTCATCATATGTAACTATGCATAATTGGGTGGATTGCCATCTGTTTTTACAAGTACATTGTTTTAGTACGTTTTTTGTTTAACAACCATTGATTTAGTGTATTGTTAATTGGCGTTATCTGATAAACATACTGTATATAGTAACTGCATTATGCTTAACAAAATACACTGACATTGGTTTGGTGAAGCCTGTGACTCTTGCAACATCATCCAAGGATTTATATTCAGACTCTTCAAGTTTCTTCTTATTTATTTCTGATCTGCCGTGCGATGTAAGACATCCTTTTGCTGGGAAACTAATGCCCACTTTTATTTGGTACTCTGTGTCCACCCATCCTCTGGGAAATGTTATTCTGTAAGACTTTTTCTGAAGTAGTGGAGGCATTTGAAGAGCTTCATGTTGTGCCAGATATGCTTAAACTGTTTTATAAAGGGTATGGCAGTTTGAATTAGGACACCATTCTTTTTACAATGCATCTTTCAAGTAAGATTACACATGTAAAAAAAAATAAAAAAAAAATCTCACTTTCCTTAATACGGTTAAAGTTGTTTTCAGGCCAGTTAAAGCACCAGTGCTACAAGTGCAATAATATCCATGGATATCCAGTTGTTTGGGTTTGCTTCAGAATTAGGAATAGTGCCATAGTTCTGTCCAGTCCCCAAGCACAGAGTTAATAGGCCATCGGTGTTTTGTTACGGTGGAGATTCACACAGGAGATTTTTGTTTTTGTTTTTGTTTTTTTCTTAAATTGATATTTTTAAAATTTCAAAGCGTGTAGTTTTTTCTCTGACTGGCAATGTAGAAAAGGTTTTGGTTTGCTTTTTCCTTTTCTCATGCAAATCCCCCTGACACATTGTGGTTGTAGTTTAATAGGAGAGCTGTAACATTCATCTACTGTGCAGAACAAATACCTCTATGTAGGTCAAAAAGAAAAAGAGAATTTACTCTTTAATTTCTAGAAGCTTTGCTTGACTCTGTCGTGTCTTAAATATGTCTGGTTCTTGCAAATCCACTCTGTATTCACTTAGTATTGAAATTCTAGATAAATCAGTTATTGTTAATCCATTTACCTCTTGGGCTTGTTTTTTTATTTGGAAATCCATATTGAAGCTCATGCTTCATGTTTAAAATCTTGTCATAATGGACCTCATACTGTTAGAGCACTCAGTAATGTTGCATTTTTACAGCATAGTGCCATAATTCATACACTGACTTTTTAACAAGAGCAATAAAAATAATAATCTACGCCTACATTTATGTTTGTACATTTTTTGACATTTAAAAACAAAACCATAGTTGGTGGGGTGACAGTTCAGAACCACGTGAGATGAGACTTTCCTTGAAAGTACAGTACCATCTACAGTGGTTATTAATGAAAACTCTTAGTCCTCAGGCTCTTCTAAACATGCTAAGGATCCAGCTGTGATCTTGGGACCTGCATCTGCATATGTTGACTAAGGGGATGTACGTCCCACATGATGCCAGGGATGCATTCCTTTTTGTGATGTTTTGCTTCTCTGCCAGTGTAAGTGGAGGACTACTTCTAGTCCAAAGCCTTTTCTTGAGAATTTGTGTAATTGCAGAAGTGAGTGCACTTAGATGAGAACTGAAGTCACTGTTCTCAGAATGCATGAATATGGTAAATAGATAACAAGTAACTTTTTGCTTTTGCGACTATATAGATGTAACTGTTTCATTGTACCGGGGAGTTGGATTTTCTGTGGGTACAAATGAATTTTCTATTTGTACATATGCAAATTAATATGATTTTGTTAAATATGTAAATGCCTGGCAAAGTGAGGGATCAAGCCATCCACTGGTCCAGGATCTGAACACGAATGAAATAGTTGATTTAAGTCTTTCTGCTGCTTACACTGAAGCAGATATATGGTATATATATTTGTGGTAAGTATTTGTGACTGCCTGTGCTTCTGGCTGTTTGATGTGCTTTTGTATTTTGCCCTGTTGTCTATTTCCAGAGATCATTACTTAATACAGAGTCTGAGAATGATGATACAGTGCCTATCATGTGGGAAGGTCAAAGCACTTTCATAAAGGCACATAGTACAGGTCTTCCCTTGTTTAGAGTGAGAATTGAGTCACAAAGAAGTTCAGTGATGTGCACCAAATATTTCAGTTTCTCACTGAGTGCTGGCACTGAAATCCAGATCTTCTAAGTTGTGGTCAAACTGTCTTGCTGGTTCTCTGAAAGATTGTTCCAGGAGGTCTGTAACGTGTACTCAGTAGTCATGCAATGCTCTGCCGAAACAATGTAAAATGGGAAGCGCAGTTGCTGGAACCTTGTCCTTTCCTGACAGCTATACCTCCTTCCCAACAGTAACTCCCTCAGTCCTACTAAAACACACTGTATCCTTACCAGGTACCTCCTCTGCAGGTACCTAGCACCCTCCAGCTCTTGCTTGATACGCTGGAGTAGGTGCACTGCCAGCAATCCTGAGTAGCAAGGATTGTAGTATACCATCACCTGTCAACCAATATTCTTGGGATTTTTTTCAAACATATTAATCTTTGGTAAGAGTTGCCATTACTTAGGACAAAGTCATGAAACTGCAGCTGGTAGGACTCTGAATGAAGGACAGTAATCTACGCAGAGCAGAGAGGACAACGTAGCTAGTGCTTTTTCTCCTTTGGGATCTTCCTCCACCATTCAGTGGAGCAAGGAGCTGAATCCAGTTTTTTTTTAATTTCAAGTCCACTACAATAGCTGCTACAATTCCACCATAATAAGAGTCTGTTATGTCAACATGGCAGAGCACACCACCACTTCTTAGCCAAGTCAGCTGGGATAGTGTCAGTGCCCTTGGTGCATTCCCCTCTCTCCTGGGGGTTTGGCTGCTTAATTAGATAATGCCACTTAGATAATGCAGACATCTAGCTTTGAGGCACTTCTGGCCTCCAGCGGCTTCTGGCCTCTATGCCTGCTGGCCTTGCAGCCATTCAACAAAAAGCTGGAAGAAGCCAGGTGCTTCCCACACTGCCACCATCTCTTAGGAGCTGCATTTAAGCTGAGGCTCTTGTGCTTGACAAGCACTCAGTCTTGTGCTGACCCGCCTGTCACCCTCAGCTCCTGGCTCACTTTCCCCTTCAGAGGGAAGGTGCTGCTCCCCAACGCACAGCCACATAGCACAGCTCAAGTTACATGCCTACATTGCTTCTGATTCTGGCGCTGGGCTGGTCAGAGCTTGTTTAGGTGTCTCTGCATGCCACTGCTCTTCATTGAGCAAGCAAGCCAGTTCTCTTAGAGCTTGCTTAGGGACCTCCAACACAATGGTCGCACTGTGTAAAAGGGCCCTTACTAGTCTCCCATCTATTTCAAAATACTGTGATCACGTTCTTTTCCACTTCAAACAGTGCACCATATTTGCATACTATGTTGATGACACCAAAAAAGCACCTAAAACAAAAAGAATAAATTTTGACTACATCTGGATGAATGCCATGTTGCTTGAGGCACTTTAGATCATTGCACAGTATTTATACTGTGTCACACCCTGTGATGTGAAGTAATTTTTCTTTAACAGAGCTTTACTAGAACAGGTACGTGGGAGGGAGAAGAAAGCTGGCAGTCAAGCTAACCGTCAGGAGTGCAATCCAGGCATTGCCTTTAGAAGGCACATGTGTGGCTTACACCCACTGAGTTTTACATAACCTAAATTAGGGTGGATTACTGGGTACTCATTTGCTTGTGCAGCTGCCAGAAAGTGTTCCTTTCATCTAAACAAACCTGAGGCTGCAAGAATTCAGTGCCTCAAAGTAGGCCTTTTCAGCATAACCCAAAGCAAATCAGTAAGTACTTCATTATGTAGAAGACTCTACTTATTCCTTTGTATAAATGGATTTTTTCTTCTGTCTAATTGTATCATGTATTTCCTTGGTGTTAGAAAAGCTTTGGGGCTATAGATGCTAAAAGATCATGAAACTCCTCTTACTGAGAGAACAGAGACGTTTAAAACAGGGGTTCTGGAGAAGCTTGTACTAGCTCCCCAATCCCCGACTTTTCTCATGCAACATGTCAGAACCCCAAAGAGATTTTAGGAAATTTTCCTGACATTTCTGAAGTGTTATATTTCACAAGTAGAAATTGCTGCTACAGAAAGAGATGGAAGCAGGAGTCTGCTTTTGGTTAGGAGTAAAATGACCAGCAAAGATGTTCTGACAATGGTCATATTGGTCCTAGGCTAGGATGCCTACTTCTTTCTGTTGCTGTCTAGCACTCTTCTGTAATACCTTTCCTTTTGTTAACATTTCACACTAGACTGTTTGTCTACAAAGGAGATATAAATACATTTTTCATTTTCCGACTAAAAGCAGAATATGATAATTACCTTTTGTATCTGTCTGTTCTTCTGTTACTAATGAGACAGCAAGTTTCCATTTCTCACTAATTTTTGCAAGTCAGTCTAATCAAGATGGTCCTCAGGAAAAAAAGTCTTCTTGCTACAACTTGATTCACCCTACTTCTCTTGAAAGTGGGGTTTTTTTTACTTTAACTAGCGTTTAAGAAGCTTCCAAGTTCTGTTTTCTCAGAATTTTTTTTTTTTTTTTTTATAAGCTGTTATAGGATGAACAAATACTTCTAACACTTCTATATAGAGTCTTTTTCCATGTTTCCAGCATCTGATGCTTAGGATGTTGTTGGCTCTGTAGATAGTGAAATGTCTTGCAATGTCAAAGATTTGGAATTGCCAAGGCAACAGTTGACTCAAAGAGCGTGTTTCGTCTATGTATTAGTAACTAAGATGAGCTGAGTAGCTTGAAGAGTCAGCCACTGACTGGGACTTTGAGCTCATGAAGCCATAGATTCTTGATGGGATCAGTGGTACATGTATGTCTCCCCAGCTCATTATTTGCAGTTTTCTCTTAGGGCCTATCACAAAAAATCTGATTCCAAACAAACTAAACAAAACCTGAAATGTGGTTGCTGTTTAGTATTTAATGGCCTGCTACACCAATTGTGTCTAGTATTTTTTGGTAAGGAATCTCAAATGGTGGTTTCAGTGGTTAGAGACTGAGGTAACAGGTAACAGAGGAGCAGTGAACCTTGCAATTGGCAAAGTAGCAATATAATTAACAGTATGTAAGTAAGGAATAATCATAGAGCCTTTGGAGTGCATTATATACTGTAAACTTGTCAAGAAAGTTGTTAATGGGCATTACGCTCGTTTTGAGAGAAGGAAAAACTAAGATGCTTATTAAAAATGGAAAGAGATGGACTGTCAAAAAGAGAATATGTAGGACCAGCCATGATAAAGCCATGACGTTTTCAAGACCTGCAGTAGGATGTCTAACATACCATAAAGAGGTCTGAGTGCGAATATCTATTGAACTGAGAGGCAGTACAAATCTGAGCACAGTGAAATAATCTGGATAAGCCTCAGAAAACCTTCAGGGTTTTTGCAGTTCCTGATGGAGTTCATAGAGGCAGGCCTCAGTGCAAGCAAGGTTTCTCCGATGAAGAAAATGTACTGTTCTTTTCAAACAGTGGAGAAAGTCAAATAAGACCTGATCACATAACCTAGTCATCTGGTCAGGAAAGGTTGCTTCCTGCTAGAATGGAAAATAAAGGAAGACTTTTTAATACAAAAATATCCTCCAACAGCCTCTGGCATATATCTGGGATACACTGACATCTTCATGGTGCTGAGAACAAGCTTCAGGTTCAATAGTACCTAGAAACAACAATCAAATAACAATTTAAGTAGCAACTTCCAGCCATGGACACTTTTACAATATGTAACCTTGCTAGAGCTGAAATGAAGAGAGTCCATGATGCTGGGCTATTATCGTAAGGCCCCTGCTTGAGACTTTTCTTGGTGATACCTGCCACCTACCTTACCTTTAACAACAAGAAAAAGCTATTTATTCCCAAAATTTGGATTTTATTGTTTGACTGTCAAATTTGTGACCTTAACTTCATTGTTTGGCATTAAGATGCTAAACTACATCAAGAGAGTAGAAAGATTGCTTTAATCCACTGACTTTGCAGGAAGACAATAAAAAGGATGGTGAGACAGAACGTATGTGGGTGTTTTACCCTACCTGTACAGAAATTATACCTGCGGAAACTGCAGGTGGCTCACTCAGCTCCTGCAGGATTTAATGGGATTGCGTGATGGAGTCATATGTAACTACTGACTTTAATGTTACTGCATGCTAGTTTAGATATGCTGGCTAGCGTGAAAGGTGCCATAGCAAGCCCTTATCCATACTCTGGTAGCTGC